TGCCGTTATTTTTAATTGTTTTTTAATTCCCAGTACCATGCACAGCGTCTGACACTGGCCTTCACATTAGAGCTATAGAAGTAAACTAGGGGACTTGGCTAGGAGCAGGTGAGAAAGTGGCAAAGAAACTCATCATAAAGGCTATGCTATGGAAAAAAATAAGAATTTACGATCAAATAGAGATGGGTGCAGGTCCTGGCTCACCATTTTATTACCTATGGGACCTGGGAGGCCACTTAACCTCTCCATACCTTAGTTTCACCATCTATAAAATGAGGATAGAAATTATACCCATTACGCAGTGTTGCTATAAAAAGTAAGGGCTAATATGCATGAAGCACTGAATTGTGTTCCTGACACATGATCTTGCTTCTACTTCCTCTTTTTTATCAATCTTATTCTTCTTCCTCTTTCTCTTCCTCTCCATTCCCCCCTTTCTTCTCCCTGTTCTCATTGTTATTCATGAATTTTTAATGTGGATTAAATTAGTGCATGTAAAATGTAATTCAGTATGATGTCTGGGGGGCAGTGGATTGGGGGAGGGAGGTTGTCACTTTGTGAGGGGTGAAATGTGTAACTATTGCATTGTTCTATACACCTGAAACTAAAAAACAAAACAAACAAACAAGAAAAGATGTAATTCACTCCTTTTTTTCTATTTATGCCTCATCAAAACCATACTCCAGAAGTAATTTTAGACCTTATTTTTGGGTTGAAACCCAAAGTGGCAGACCATGTCCTAATGTAACAAGAGTGGCTTTCTGGAAAGAAACATAGCATAGCTCCCTCTCTCCCTCTTTGGGTTAATAAGTTTGAAATCAAAAGCCTTCTTGCCAAGAAAAAGGGAAAAGGCTTATATGTGCAAGCATGCATGCACGCCTGCGACAGCGATTCCGTGCGGGGAGTTCCCAGGGACAGCCAGATGTGAGGCATGGCTGGAGATGAGGAGGAAGCCAAGAATTCCACATTAACCTTACACATCACCCGGGCAAGTCACTAAGAATAAAACCCTGCTCCCCTTGCCTGGGGATCCATTCTATGTGCTTGTAGGTTGAGAGTGTCACATCGTGCTTTAGAGCAGGAGGAGGATTTGCCATTTTATCCCTTGGCCTCTGCTTCCCCTTCTCCAGGAAGACTTGTGCTGCCTCCTCTGGGGTGTTGTGGGGACGATTAATTAGCTAATATTGGGAAAGGGCCCCTGGTAATGACTGCTAAGTGTTTGCACCGTGTAATTGGCATTTTATCCCCAAGAAAATGTTCATATTGTTACTAATTAGGCATTGTTGAAGTACCTCATGCTCCATTATTTTACAGTTGCCTTGCAATTAACTGGCATCAGTACCATTTCAAATGGCATTTATTGCCTATTTCCCTGGTTTAATTTTTTGGAAATTTTATGGGAAGCCTGGGCATTGCTTCTTATTCACTGTAACTTGAATCATTACAACGTAAATATAGTTTTGGGTGGTGATATTGTCAACAACGAGAGTTCTTTAGAGGTTTCAATTAAGAACACTACAGCTCTGTAGTTCATGCGGTAGTTTATTATGGTGCCTGAGCCCTCTAAGCCCTTCTTCCCTGGGTCTGCAGCTCATGCCTGAGTGTCTGTGCACATGTGTGGGCATGTGTGTATGCATGTGTGTGTGTTCACATGTGTGCATATGCGGGTGTATGGGCAGTGTAATGATCAGGGGTGTAATAGGAGAATGAGGTCAAGAGCAAAGACCTCCTTTGGCTGAGTCTTCTCTAAGGCAAAAACCAGAGAAGCTGATTAATAAACTTTTCTCAGCAGAGGATAAGGGAAGAGGTGGAGGTAGAAGAGGGTAAAGGGGGTCAAATATATGGTGATGGAAGGAGATTTGACTTTGGGTGGTGAGCACACAATTCAATATACAGATGATGTATTATAGAATTGTACACTTGAAACCTATACAATTTTATTAACCAACTTCACCTTAATACATCTAATAAAAAATAAGCTTTCCTCCATTTTCTTACTACAACCTAGAGATACGAGTTGGCTCAAATCAAGCATCATTTGTTCAATATCTACGATGTTATTGTAACAGACGGGTTTCATACTTTTTTCAGGTTTTACAAGAAGTCAGTGAGGTCTCTCATGTTGACAAAATGAAGGCTTACGGAAATTAAAAAAGGAGTCCAGGGTCACATAACTAGAAACTGATGAAGACAGGGCTTAACCCAAGTCTGCCAGGCTGTGAAGGCTGGGCCCCTTTCACTCTCCCTCAAACAAAATCACTGAACTTTCTATCTGGAGGTGAGTCTTGGTCACTTCAATGACCACCTTGCACCTTCTCCAGGAGGCCTTGAAGAATCACCTATCTCAATGCATCTTCTCTCCTGTAGCTGATATTACTTCCTATCACTTCTCATCATCTGACTTTTATTTTAACTGCGTCCCAGTGGGGAGGTCAATATAATACGATGACTATGAAAGCGTGGGCCTTGGAGGCATGTGGATTGTATTTCTCACTCTGCCTTTTCCTATCTGGGCCGATGTGGTCAAGTCTTAGCACCTACTAAACTTCATCTTGTTGATGTAAAGATGAAAAGAAAACATGTGTGGAAAGTGCTTAGAATGTTTCATGGAACTTAGAAAGCACATGATACATGGTGGTTGGATGGATGGATGCATGCATAAAAAGGATGAATAACTGAATGAATGGCAGAGATCTTGGCTCATTTGTAATATTACCTCCCCCAAATTCTTTTTTTTTTCCTTGAGTTTTCTTGAGAAATAATATATACCACTGCATAAGTTTAAGGCATATGGGATGATGGTTTGATTTGTACATATTGTGAAATGACTATCACAGTAGGTTCAGCTAACATCCATCATTTCATATAGAGACAATAAAAAGAAAAGAAAGAAGAAAAGAAAAAAGGAAAAGAAAATTCCTTGTGATGAGAACTCTTAGGATTTACTCTCTTAACAACTTTCCTATATATCATACAGTAGGGGTAACTAGCCATCATGTTGTACATTACATCCCTAGGACTTATTTACCCCCTCCCCACCACTTTCCCATCCTGCATGCACTTACTTACAATCCGCTCAAAAAAAATTATTTAATAAAAGAATCAAAAGAAAGAAGGTAAGAAACTGCCTGGTGTAACTGAGGGCCAACCTAGCTGTTCGTTCGTCGGGGGTAGACTAGATTAGCTAGACCATGTTGACTATGAAAGGATAGCCCACATCTTGACAAAAGTTACCACTAAGATAAGAATACGGTGATTCTTGATGAGCTGAAATATATGGGTCTGTTGTGTTGTTACTTCTTCTACCCCATTTCATATGTAGAGGACAGAATGACACGCCAAAAGGAGGCTTAGACTTGAAATCACGGGATTCTAGTCAGAAACCCACTCCACCATGTGTAGTTATCTATGTGACACTTCGACCTTTGCAGAGCCATCCACTATAATAGTACATTTCACAGGCCCTGTAAGACTCCAGGAAATGAACTCTGAAGTGAGCCGTGTTCTGTGTACAAACATCTGTCAGGGAGTGAGAGAAGCAGCAATGGATAAAAGTGATGGCAACAAAATGGAGGCTGATCCCCGGGCATTTCTGGAGCTGGGGTGGCCCTTCGGAGCTGAACCGAGGAGGAAGGCCAAGTCTCTGAACCCTCGCAGATTGTCCGCAGGAGACAGGTGTAACTTTGGCCACTCAAGGGAAGTTCCTGGGGAGGAACTCAGCTGTGAGCTGTTAGCTCCCCACATCCCAGCAGCTGCAGGAATGAGTTTTTCAGTCCTGGGGAGAAGTCTGAGAGGGGCACTAGGCATCCACTGTAGTGATGGAACAAGGATTTGAACTCAGGACATGTGGCCCTTACAACTGCATCATGATTTTTGCCTCTGCCACTCAATGACTATTACTATTTCCATTTTGCGGAAGAAGCTATAGAGTCTCAGAGCCAAGTTGAATGTCCAAATGACCTGCCAAGAGATAGCAGGGCCCAAAATACACCACCAAAGCCCATGCATATTCCCTAGGACCGCCTGCTTATCTGCTTGGACAGCAAATGAGAAGTCACCCAATAGCTTACTGAACTAGTCAGCACTCTATAGCTTGCTAAAACTTGTAAGAAAAAGGTTGAAGGGGATGGTGTGTAATGTGTGTGATGTTTCAGAACAAGCAGGTGCTAATTGTTTCCTCAGGATAGTTAGTGCCACTTTGGAACTTTAGAGGAATAGTGGAAGGCCATTACAACCCACTTCCTATCATTACAACCCATCTCATAGAGGATTCTGAGTCAGGGTATTGCTTATAAATGTAACTCCATACAATCAAGCCTATAGACTTTTTGAGTTTCACTCACTAACTCCACATTATTTCAACAATTATTGCGTAGTTATGATGTGCTCGCTAGGAATATGGAGGTAAATGGTGCTTAGAGATTGGTGATGGGGTTATGTTCAATCTGGACTCCAAGATCGTAAGCAGATCCTGTAGGTATGGTAGCCCAGGGAATAAACACAGACAAAGAAGAGCCTCTAAAACCTCAGCCTATGCCACCATCCCAAAGCGGATATGAATGCTGCAAAACGAAGGGAACAAGGGAAAGGCTTTAGAGACAGCAATGACACATTTGCTCCAGCCTCTGAAGCGTCCTACAACCCAAGACGCTGTACTCATGCATGCCAATGGCCATCTCTGCCAGAGTAAGCCCCTGCACAGCTAACTGGCTTGATTGTCACATTGTGCACTTACAGGATGCCAGCGTCACAGCCACCTGAGCTCATGGAGGCACAATAGCCACCATGATGCTTCTCTCCATAGCAGCACTGGTCCACGCACCCACCCTTCCCCCCTTACTGTCCCTGTCTGCTGGGAGAGGCAGGGCGTCACTCTAACCATCTCCTCTTCCTTAATATTTGCTCTTACCTGCCTAGACCTCTCCAGGATCTGTGTGTCTTCAACACTCACACACAGGGCCTTTCCCCACTAAATGCGAGAGCAGAGCGTGGCCGGTTACCTGGTGTGCAAGCAGATAAAGTGCGCTTGAGTTATGGTTCCATCGCGTGCTGGCAGCTGGTAGGCTACTTAACTAGTTTGGGCTCTGGTGATCTCATCATCTGCAAAATGGAGAGAGGGAAACAATGACCATGTCACACTGTGGGGAACAAAAGAGAGAAAGGTATAGCTCCAAATAAATGGCTGAACTCCAATTAAACTGTCACCTACTGGGCGTCCACCAAAGGCTGGGTATGCTGCTGGAAATATGATCCCATTATCTTAATGATCAGCTGACGCCACGATCCCCTTCTGTGCAGTGGAATAGATGGAGGCCTATAGAGATGATTTAACTTGGAGGAGGTTACCCAGCTATTGTGCCTATGCAGAGTCCAAATATCCAGTGTCCCAGAGATTAGAGGCTGCCTGGGCCTCCGAGAGGACAAGATATTCCCTACCTAGCAAGTGGTGTGACCAGATGATGTCTAAGCACTGCCAACACTGAGGTGCTGTGATCTGGATGGCTTGGTGAGGACTTCTACTGGCAGAATTTGGGGTACTGGTGTGAATGCAGCGAGGCTGGAGGTTGGGAGGAAGACGGAGGAAGGATCTGAGTTTCATTATTTGTTTACTCATTGAGGGCACGGGGTCTTCCTCGTTTCATGCCACTGCTAGGCTAATGTCCTTTAGTGGCTTCCCAGGGCCCTTGGCACAAAGATCATGATGCGATCAGGTGCTGCATAGCCTGTCATCGCCCCCCCCCCCATTCCAGACCCTACTCACCCCCACCCCACCTCTGCTACTTTCCTCCGGGCTCGGCACACAGGGCTGCCTCAGTGTCTGCTTCCTCCTGCCTCTGCACGTGCTGTTTCTTTTGCCTAGAACGCGCTCATTGTCTAATGAGAGCCTTTTCATCTTTCCGCTGCCAGCCCAAGCCTGTTTCTTGAGGCAGGCAACCCGCCACTACCCCGGGGCCAGCTCAACTTCCTGTGTGAATCGCTAATCCAGGCCTGTCCTCCTTTCCCTCAGAGCGCCTCACTCACTTGGCAGCTACACAGTCTCTCATGGATCATGGATTGATATTTGTCTTTCCTTCTCAACTGCAAGCTCTGTAAGTGCAGGGACAGTACAGCATGGCTGGCAAGGCTAACCCTAACCCTAACCCTAACCCTTAGTTGTCCTTCTTTGCATCACATACACCTACTAGGCAAACATTCTCTAAGTCACTCACTAAACCTCAGTCAGGATCCAATCTGCGTGGAACTAGCATAAGGTAGGTGTTAAATAAACATTGGTGATTCACTTGCAAAAACTGTCTTCCATTCCTTCAGAGCCCTAAGTCAGCTCCTATCTATCCACTGCTTAACGGGTCAAATGACTAATACCAAACGCACGGAGGAAGGAAGGAAGGGAGGAATAGAATTGGTACTTATCATACACGTTTTAGCAAGTGCTTCTCACTTATTTGCAGGGTTTCAGCCTCTGGAGGAGAAGGTGAGGGCTGGTCTGTCCATCTAATCAGGAGCCTCATCCACGGTAAAAGCAGTTCTTTGTGTAGTGTGGAGGGTAAAAGCATGGGCTTTGGAACCAGACTGGCTGAACCTAAAGTCTGACTCCATGACTCACTAGCTCCATGAATCTAAGTGAGTTACTTAACATCTGACTCAGTTTTGTCATTTGTAATATGGAGGTGACAATAGTCATTATGCTGCAGAGTTGTCATGAGGAATTAAATAATTTAATCTTTAATTTATAAGGTATTTAGAACAGTTTCTGACATATAGTACATATTCTATAAGCTCTTGCTATTATTTTATTTGTTTAGGAGTTAGATCATGTTATACCTTTCCAGGAGCCAGCCCCTATAATCACTTCCTTCCTAAGTCTCCCAGCATTTCTCTGGGAGTTCTAGCTTTTTCGGCCTCCTTCTGACCTGAGTAGCTAAAAATCTAACATCTCCTGAGCCTAAATGAATTATGACAGTGTTGTTGTTGTTTTTCTCTGGGGTTTCCATTGAAAAGGAAATTTCCTTTCAATTTCAATCTCAAATTCAATTTCAAAGTGACTTCCATTGAAATTTCCCCACTGGTGGGAAATAGTTCTATAGTCTCAAATAGACTTGAGTTCTGCAAGAAGATTTGGTTCAACAGATGCGATCAGCTCCCAGGAGCAGTCCTGGGGAGGCAAGAAAGCTTGAGAAAGGTGGCTTTTGCCAGCCAAGAGTAAGCCCAGTTCAGTGACACTGTGCTAAGTGGAGCTACAAGTGGCAACGTTAGTTTTTGTGCCCATTAACTCTTTCCTTTCTCACCTCATGGCTAGCAAGCTGACATTAAAAGAAACTGAATGTTAATGAAGTGCCAGGCCAATTCAAAAACAGAACCAATTGTTAAGGTTGGTTAGTAGCGCAGAGGGTTGAAACTTTTAAGTCTGATCTGGCTGAGGCAGAGAATATTGTCAGGTGTGGAGGACACATCCCAGAGTCCAGAGTTCCGATCTGAACCCAGGCTCCACCACTTAAGACTTTGGTGACCTTGGGGGAAGGCCCGTCTTCTCTCTGGACCTCCCTATCAGTTAAACGGAACACGTCAGCCATTTACTCAACAAATTTTTATTGAGCTCCTCCTTTGTTCTAGGCACTGCTAGACTAGATGAACTTTCAGATGTGTTACAACTGAACCATTTTTTGAAGTACATCTGTGAAAGCTCAAAATGGTTTCACCTTGGAATCCGTGTTTTAATCTGTGTTCTTAACATATGGCATAAAGTGTGGTGCATAATACGCACTCTGGAAATATTTGGTGCTCTTTTCAAAGATCCAACTTTTGCCTCGCTTACTTTCTGGATTATTTGTGTATTATTTTATTGATTTAGGTTCTCATATTGTAAGTGCCTTTCTTTTCTTTTCTTTGGGTTCATTTCGTTCCTCTTTTTCTAACCTGTACGGTGGAAACACAAACCCCTGAATCTTATTAGCTCCCTTTTTTTATGTGTAAGTATTTCAAGTTGTACATTTTCCTCTACCACTGCCTTAGCTGTCTTCTAAAACTTTTGACATACTGTGTTGGCATTATGATCGAACTATTTCGGTGTCCTTTGTGAATTCCTTTTTTTGACCTATGTGGCTTTTAGAAATGTGCTGTTTAATTTCTAGTTATTTGCATATTTTTGCTTTACTTTTTAGTTATTGGATTCTAATTTACTTCCTTTGTACTCAGAAACAGAGCCTGCAGGCACTGTGACATTCCCTTTCAGCTCCAGAAGAGATGCACTCTACAAACGTACAGTCCAGCCCGGAGTCAAGTACCTGCAGAGGTCTCCCCTGTTGGCATTCTGGGGACCCCTGACTGCACAGCACCCTTCTCCTTGGTACACGGCCCAGCCAATTACCGTGGCTTTAGCAGCCCTCGATGCTAATCTCTGCCTTCTCAGCTCTGCAAGGCTGCTTTTCTTATCTTGGGCTCCATCACCTTGGGACATGTGACAACCTCAAGGCAGAAAACTGCAAAAACATTGAGCTAACCACCTGTGTTTCCTTTTTTGCTAGGAGACAGTCCAACACTGACATCACCCACCCCTCCCTTCCCCAATTCTACTCCATAATATGCCTCACGTTTTTTGTTCGCTTTTAGAGTTGTTTACAGTAGAGGAAGTGGGGAGCAGTTGGAACCCATACTCTATCATGGCCAAACCCAAAGTGTTACTTTTTCATTTAATCCTTTCAAGTAACAAATATTAAAGAAAAGAAATTTAGGTTTTAAAAGTTTTCCTCTTTTATGAACATGAGAGGGAAATATTACTGAGCTTTTTTTTTTTTTCCCATTTGTGAGCTTCCATCACTCTGAGTAACTAACCTGAACCTACAATTGGTTTATAAAGCCTCTTTCTAACAGTTCCTGAACAGTGCTTTTTACGTATGCTTTTTAAAGATAACACAAAGAACTACTGAAAAATTACAACTTGGAAACATAAGATCCACTATGAATGGCTAGCTAATTGGTTTATTTCAACACAATATCATCTCGCAGTACCAACGATTATCCTGATGTGGCTATAACATAATTGGTTGATCCCTCCCATCTCTTCTTCCTTAGGTAATGCTGGGTCCTTTAGCAACACATTAAGGGTAATATTGCTCTCCGGTTCCTGGCTGGATGTCCTTACTGATTCAGGTCTGATTCTACCTGTTTTGCTGAATCTCTTCTGTGTTTCATACTTGTCTACACCAGCTATGCCAGGTAATGCTGTTTCCTAAAAGCCATTACTGTATGTCTTTATTGAAAGCATAACTCCACAGCATTTTCACACTCTTGGCTTCAATTCCTTACGGTATACCCATTACAAACAGGGTCTTCATTCATTGCATTTATGCTATGCCATTCCTGTTCCTACTGCCTCCTGCACACATCCATGACAATGCTGAAAAACGAAGGTGTTTTTATTTTATTTTATTTTTCTCTTCCAGCGTCCATGCTGCAAAATTACATTGCTAAAGCTCCTTATTATCTGGGAATATGTCTCTTCTCTGTGGCAAGAAAAGGGGGATTAAGGTTTCTTGGCTTTTGATAAAAAGGAAAAAATATCCAAGTTTCATATGTTCTGAAAAACATTGTTTCACTGCATCAAAGGTAATTTACCTGATTCTAAATCCTGGGTCATGTTGTTAAAATAATTCCTATCTGTGACCCTCTCAGGTTTTCCTCTTTAGTTAACTTATGCTAATTTAAAATGGTACAAATGAAATTAATAACATCCATTTTTAGGTGTTTGAAAGGGTTTCTTTTTCTTGTGGTTCTTTCATACATTACAAAAAGACGAGACTGCTGGACAGTGAATTCACGGTAGATGAGATATTGTCTTCCATTCACTTGTATGGATGCATCAACCGGCTAAAATTTAAATCCCAAAATCCACCTTTTTGGGGGGAAAGAATATTGCTTTGTATTAAGAGATCCCAAATAAACATCCCCCCCGCCCCTAAAGTGCTTCAAACCTTAAAGGGAAGGCCACGGAAATTCCAAATTAAAAGAAAAATAAAATTTTTTTTTTAAATACAAAAAGAAATAAAGGAAATTTTGTGAAACACAAATGATTGGGCAAGTAATGTAGACAATTTAGAGAAGAAGCAGGATTAGCCTGGGCTGAGAAATCTTTTTACAGAAAAGACTCTGATGTCCAGAAAAGTTTGTTTGACCTCTGCATCCTTATTATAGCCTAAAAATCTTGATGCTTAAGCCCCATGATTGGATTTACAGCCAAAGGTTTAGAACACTCTTGGTTGTTTGAAATACAATACTCTCTGCTGTCTAATTTGGTATTCTGTCTCCTTACTTAACATATAACCCTCTGCTCTCTTTTTCTCTATAGAGAACCTGACCTGCTTTCTAGAGCCCCAACCCTCCACTTCACTCTTGCCTCTTCACTGGTGATGCAGCCAGTAATGGGACTGGTTCCATATTCTGAATCTTAGCAAGGTAGCAGGCCAATATGGACTTCTACGGCCAGGCCATAAGTAAATGAGGAACAGTGGACCAGAAAGAGCATCCCTAAACACACCCCACACTATAACTGGATTGTACACGGCCCCTTGGAATTAAGTTGTGATAAATACAGTTACTGCTTGGAGGCCAGACCTGAGCATCTTTCTTCCGGCCATGCCCCCAGGGACAGCTATATGGGGAATTTAAAGAAGAAACATCAACCAAAAAAGACTTGTAGTTATATTAAAGAAAGGTTCCCCTTGTCCTTGGCTGTAGAGATCACGTTCTAATTGTACCCTCTTATTCTCTTACATAGACTATATCCCCCTTTGTCGTGGAAAATGACACGGGGGCAGTTGATTTCGTTTTCATCGGTCAAGGCCAACCAACCCATATGGTTTCCAAGGAGGTAAACAAATCAGACACAAAGGCTACAGCGCCATTCTGCAATCGTGAGCAGGGGAAGGGACATGTGCACTTCTGGGTGTTTGTGTTTTCTAGACAGAAGCTGAGCACTGGAGCTAGGACTTAATGCTTCAGCCTCCGTATCTCTTTGGGAGCACTCTTTATCCTTGTTTGAAAGCATGGACAGAGAAGTGAAACATGGCTCCTTGTACAAAATCCTATTTAATCAGGTCTCTTGTTTCTGTGCAGGTAAAAGCCAGCCTCCCCGGTGCTAAAACTGCTTGTTTGCTGGGCAATAGAAATGTAAACCCTCCCACTTCTCACTTCACAGGGACACGGTCTAGGACCTGGATCTTAAATGATGGACAGAATAAATGTCACTTTCAGAAATAGCCTCTTCACCTCAAGGTTGAACAACTATTCACTTTATATTTTTCTTTTACAAAACATTTTGAATCATTTTTTTTTTGGTATAAAATAAGGTTGTAACTCTATTCCTTGTAATCTGTTAGTCAATTGACCCACTAACACTTACTGAATATTTTATCCCACTGGTAGGACGTTTTTATTATGTCACACTCTTATGTATAATTGAGACTGTACTTGAAGTTTTCAGACTGATCCATTATTTATTAGACCCCATACCTGCACCACAGTTCTAATACTTTAAGCTCAGTGTCTTAACCTCAGCACAGCTGGCATATTGGGCTGGGGAATTAATTCTTCGTTGTGGAGAAAAGTCTTATGCATTGCAGGATCTTTAGCAGCATTTTGGCCTCCATCCACTAGATGTCAGTAGCACACTCCCCACTCTCACCCCAAGCAAGAATGTCTCAAAGACATTATCAAATATCCTCTGGGGGACTAAATTGCCCCCAGATGAGAATTGCTGTTTTAGCCTAAAAACATATTTTATATATTAGCTAGAACAAAGCAACTGTTATTCTTCCCTTTTTTCCCCTTCAAACATATATCAGTTGTCTGCATGCATTCATTACTCTCATGGAATTTTAGATTTATTTTCAAATATACTTAAAACATAGTTAATGTCTATATTAATTTGGGGAAAAATGGCATTTAAAATACTAATTATCCAATACAGGTATATTCCCACTTATACCATTTTATTTTTTACATTCTAAATTAACATGTAACCCTGCAATTGGTTATGTATATTATTAAAAATATTTCAATGTGCCCTCTTGTTTCATTCATATTTGTACCCATATAGGTATATAAATTGTTATTTACATTTCATAGATGAGACACAGAAGTGGGATGGAGGAAGGTAGAATGCAGGCTGTCAACTTGGACTCTAGGGCCTTTCCTTTCACCCTCTGCCTCACTTGAAGATCTAAAATGGGAAATCAAGAAAAGGAAGATATAAAAGATAGCATGAGACATTTCCTACATTTAAAAGTAGGGTTGCAAGCAAAACTTCCGTTTTTCAATGAGAAAAGTTCCCCCCACTATGGTTTAGAGCGTCCTAACTCCCGTGCTTTCCCTCCTGGACCAGAAATCCCATCACTTTTCTTCAGCTGATTTCAAGCTCCATTTTGAAACTCCGGAGATTTGTGCACCTTTCCCTTTTATTAGCGAGGCTTGGGTGAAACTGAGACATTGGTATCTCATTCATTCTAATAGGGCTCTGGAACTTTATTTAAAGGAGCAGCAGTGAGTGACTAGAAGGTGAATTTTGTGGTCACGAGCCGAAACTCATTATGATCACAAGACTTTTGACTTCTTCCCCGCTTTTTCTTCTCTCTGCCTAGAGCTCAGGAATGGAGGACTAGCTTGGAACCTAAAAACCACTGTGTCCTCAGACCTTTTTGCACCATCGCCTATGCATGATCATGAAAAAAAGATGCTTCCTTTTCTTCTGCCTCAGGATGTGTCCATAAGGGACTTAGTTCCGTGAAATAGGATGTGGAAGACAAGGAGGTGGCGGAAAAAGCAATGGTACCCTGCCGAGTCAGCCAGGGCCAGTGTGGGTGGATGCATCAGCTGGGAAGGACGAAAGGTGGTCCAGACCAATGGCCAAATGGTGCCTGAGAGCAGGTTACAGATTACAGGAAAGGCGTACATTAGTGGCTGGGATTAGGTAGGATGTGATGAACTCAACACGAGTTAACACGGGTGTGCCAAGAAAAATGATTGACAATCCAGTGGGTTGGCAGCATCATGGGGAAACTGTCCCCCAATAACTGGGCTCCAGCTGCTGAGTTAAGTCCAAGAGCAGAGAGGAAAAGGAGTTGGGAAGGACGAAGAGCACTAATCAAAGTTTTATAGGAACCACATGATCGAAATGAGAAGCTAGCTCAAGGAACATATCAGAGACTCAGTTATCCGGGTTGGAGAATGAGATCCCAGGAGATGAGGAGCACATATTTCTTGATTCTGTATCTTTATGGGTTAGATGGACCTGCTTTCATCACACCCCCCGTGAGAGTTTATTCATTAAATTGACAAATGCTTTTCGAGCTCCTACAATGTTTGTACTGGGTGATGTGAAAAATGATGTAGGGTGAAAAAGACTGGGAATGCTAAGTGTCAAATCAAAATACTTAGCTAATGACAGGCTTTATTTCAAAAGACTATTGCAATAGGGAGAATGCCCTGATCTCAGGAAGGTGCACAGTTAATAGAAGAAAAAAAGCTTTTTCTCTTATAGGGTGGGGTAGGCAAAGCTAGCAGGAAATTGTGGGAAGTTGGGTAAGAGGGTGGGGTGAACAGGTGGCATTATTGGGGCATTTTAATGAGGAGCTGTTTTCCTTCGCGGTTAGAGAATTCAATTCTCAGAATTAGCTATTAAGGGGGGAGACATTTTGTACTTTAGTGGTTTAGCACTTGAAACTTCAGTGCAAGCTAAATTTCAGGGGCTGCTGGGGAGGCGAGGAGCCTGACTACATTTGGTCAAGCCAAAACCCAATGGCTACATCAAGGGCAATTGTGAGCACTTGGTCACAAGGGGGAGTGCTTATGTAAAATGTTAAATAGGTGGTCAAGGCTGGGCTGATGAAGCAGGTGACATTAACAGAGTTGAAGCTGGAATGCAAAGTCTTGAGAATTTTGTGCTCTTAAGGGGGCAAAACATGCTGGTACTAGAAGAAAAGCATTCCTGGCAGAGAGAAAGGCTAATGCATGGGAGGATAGATGTTATATTTGAAAAATAGCACCATGGCTTATATTTTTCAAAGATTGCCCCCAATAATATCTCCCATCCCAGAGGGTCCTTTACAATGCAGCCTTGCCACATTCACGTGAACAGATATATATTTCTCCATGTCCTTAAACCTGGCCAGGCTCTGCGACAGCTTAAACCAATAGAATATGACTGAATTATCACTGTGCCAATTCCAGCTGTGGCCCTTACCTGGCTCAGAAACTTCTGCGTCCTGCCTCCTGTAATACTTGTTCTTGTGACGTCGACTCTCAGAACACTGACTCCCCTAGCTGCCATGCTGTGAGAAGCCCAAGGCACGGGGAGAGGCCCTATGGAGGCACTCTGACCCACAGCCCCAGTTAAGCATCAACTGTCAGTCAGGAGAGTGAGGCACCTTGAACTCCCAGCCCACTGAGCCTTCAGATGACTTCAGACCCAGCTGACACTGAACTGCAGCCATACAAGCAACCTTGAGCAAGAATCCCCAGCTGAAGTCAGTCAACTTACGGAGCCACAGAGGATAACCAGGTGTTGTTTTAAGCCACTTAATTTGGGGGTAGTTTGCTAAGGGGCAACAGCTGGCTGAAATAATTCACAAGAAGGACATGGTAGCTAGAGGGCAGTGAGCAAGAGGAAAGTTAGGAGGAGATGAAATCAGAGAGAAGCATGGGGAGTCCAGTTGGATGTTTCCTCATAAAAACTTTGGCTTTGGCTCTGAGCAAAATGGAGGGCCATTGCAGGGTTCTGAGAGAGAAGTGACAGGGCCTGACTGACATCCTGAAATGATCTCTCTGGCTGCTGTGTGGGGACTCAATTGCAGGTCCTGTTGTAACAATCCACATGAGGAATGATGTTGCCTCAGATCCGGTGGGAGGTAAAAAGATGTTGGCATTTGTATATATTTTGGAGGTGGAGCAAAAAAGGCATTTCCTGATGGGTTGAGAAAAAGACAGCTCAGAATGCCTGAGATATTGGAAGAGTGATGTTTCCACTCTTAATTGAGATGAGGGACCCTGTTGGAGGGGCAGGCTCAAGGAGGAAGATTGCAAGTTCAGCCTGGGATATATTAAATTGGAAACATTTATCAGACATTCCAGGGGAAACATCAAGTAGGCAATAGGACTTCATAGGTTTGGCATTAGAGAAGGTATCAGGGTTGGAGATGTATACATGGGAATCATCATCACACAGGTTTGTTTGTTTTTTTTTAAGCCATGAACTAATGAGATCACCCAAGGGAGTGAGTGTTAGAAAAGGAAGACATCAGGGATTCGTCCCTAAGGTATTTCAAGGTAAAGATTCTGGGAGAAGACAAAGGCAGTAAAATAATCTGAGAAGAAACAGTCACTAACATGGGAGGAAGACCAAGAAAGTGAGTGTCCTAGAAATCTAGGAAGGAAGTGTTTTCAGTAGGAAGGAGTTACCAGCTGGGTCAAATAAAAACAGAAGTGAGAATCAACCTGAGTATTCAGCGTTGTAGTCTCAGCCAAATCATCTCATTCTCTCTCTCTGTTTCTCCCATATACAACCCAATATTTATTGAGCATTTACTACATGTCAAGTACTTCCTATGCTTTAGGGATAGTAAGGCAAATGGAATGTTTCCTTAAGGAGCTTACTACCATTCAATCGATTAAACAATATTTACTGCACAATTACTATGTGTAAGACCCTCTGCTAAATACCATGACGGATGTAAATGTTGTATAGGACACATGCTCAATCTAATTAGAAATGTTAGAAAGAAACACCCTTTCTTTCTAGAAAAATAGAAAGAAATCATTTAACAGGCTGTTAAATTGCAGTGAAAGTAAAGCCTGCAAGAAATGTCACAGTGGGGCCGGCCGAGTGGCGCGTTGGTTAAGAACTGGCTTGGGACGCCAGAGGGCCCCGGTTCGGATCCCACATATGAGGGACAGTGACACTGCCCTCCACAGCTAAGATGCTGAACAACAGCTCAACCTGGAGCTGGGATGCCATGAGTCGCCGGCGACGGCGTAGACTGCAGCCCCTGTGGCAGTGGGTTGCCATGGGCTACCGTGTGTAGCCAGCAGCCAGCGTGAGCGGCCAGCAGCCGCTGTGAGCGGCCGTCCAGAAGCCGGCGACTGATCTGCCTCACCTGGGAAGAGCGCAATGATGGTGCCAACTTGGGCCAGTGAAGCAACGTCCTCCACAACTAGACTGAAGAACAAAACGACAGCAACTTGTCTGTTCCCCTTCCCCCAATTCCTCAGCACTGTTCCCATCCCCCCAATTCCCCAATAAAAATCTTAAAAAAAAAAAAAGAAATGTCACAGTGAAGCGTAAGGTTTTGGCAAGTGGCAGCATATAAGACTAAATGTCATATGATAAAGGGATGGGTTGCCTACACTGGAAACATCTGGGAAAGCTTCAGGAAAGGCACACAGATAGAAAAATGCAAGGTAGGGGGCATGTGGCACAGGCATTGGAGGTCAGTAATAGGCAACTTTGCAGGAACCAGAAAATGAATATGAAAGGAAGTGCGACACCATGAACGAACCAGGAGGTCATTATTCTAAGTCAGGGGTCGGCAAACTTTTGAGACGGAATTGTCGCCAGGGGTCTGCAAACTGCGGCTGGAGAGCCACATGCGGCTCTGTGGGTACGTACATGTGGCTCTGAAGTAAAATTGAAAATGGAAATAAAACTATCAGCGTTTCATTTATAAGATTTTTAAAGGATATTATTCACATAATGGTGATTATGTAAAAATATATTTATGGCCCTTGAATAATTTTTAAATTGTTGTGAGGGACAGGATTGGCTCTTCCGTCTCAAAAGTGTGCCGACCCCTGTTCTAAGTGAAATAAACCAGATGCAGAAAAACAAATACTGTCTGATTCCACTTATGTAAGGAATCTAAAATAAGTCAAACTCATTAATAGAAGCAGAAAGTAGAAGCCCCGTGGTGCTTTCCAGGGGCTGGGGACAGGAGCAGGGGGGGGGAAATTGTTATTCAAGGGGCATAAAGTTTCAGTTCTGCAAATGAGTAAGTTCTAGAAATCTACTGTACAACATCGTGCCTACACTTAACATTGCGTTGCACAGTTAAAAATTTGTTAAGAGTCTTGTGCTAAAAGTTGTTACTATGATAAAAGAAAAACAATTATGAATTTAAAAAAGTAAGTGGAGATACATTAAGAATGGCTCGGGCTATTGTGTACGACTTTGGATTTTGACCTTTTTCTGTGGATGATACAGGTGCGGTCTGATGGCTAAAGAAGTTTGGGACCATTGGATGCGTCATAATTTCTATTTTAGGATAATCAATCTGGTGGTAGGAGTTAGGATGGAGTGTGGTTGGGGGATGACAAGACTCAAACATAATATCACTGAAATGAATTCTTACTAAGAATAACACAGGTATTTTAAAGTCTTTTCAACCTTATGGAGTCTTTCCCTCTTCATCGATGTGTCTGTTCTTGTACATGTCAGTGTGTGTGTGTGTGTGTGTGTGTGTGTGTGTGTGCTGGATACATTAATGTGTTAATTCATAAATACTCACTTTTGCTTCCAGGAATAGAGTCCATCCACTTCACATTCAAGCTGCCACTGGTACTTAAGAATTTAATTGCAATGCTTGGAGTTTTCTTATACCCTACAACAAAAAGAGCTTAATTTGTTTTAAAGTTTATTTTTCTCTTATTTTTTAGTTATGCCATTACATCATCTACAAATATTGGTATTTCAATGTCTTTTGTTCTGACTCTTACACTTCCTTTTTTAAAATCGAAAATCTGAGCATGGTGCCTGGCACATATTATCTCTCAAAAATAATAATTCATTCTTATCTTCCTTTCCCCCTTTTCTAGATGTCTAGAAAAATTATCCAGTAAATATGTCACATTTAGGTGCTTTTATTTTTAAGTCACTATTAACCTTTCATCTTGTTTTACATTTCTTGATCTTGTCCTGCAACTTAGAAATCTCTTTTCTTCACATTCTCATCTATTGACTGAGCACTTATTATGTGGGTAACCAAAACCTGAAAGTAACCCACCCACCATCCAAATGAGGGTCTCAACCTACTCCTAGCAGAGCCAGACACTGATTTAAATCAATGTAGATGCAATAAAATAATGGATATCATACAGGTACGAGTACATTGCTAGATTTATCATTTCGTATTTCAAGTTTTGTTAATTGTTATATTTTTCAATGTCTGATATATTGGTTACATTCAAAGATAAAAATTTATGATTTTTTTCCCAAAGCACCTATTAATATTGCTATTTTATTATTAGATATCAATTTTATCTTTCCATTGCTTTATTCATGACTTTATGTTGTCATCTTCCTTCTCCATTTTAACAGTTTTTAAGTACTTATTTATTTAATACATATTTGAGGGTAAGCTTATTTTTTTTGGTATTCCCTTAGTAATAGTAATAGCATGATTTTTTTCTGGATAATTACTCTTTTGGTACTATTTCCTATGCTTTAAATACCTGTTTTTATTTTGCTATATTAAACATCCTTGTAGGCTACAATTTGTTATATTTTATTTTGAAATTTAGAAGAGGGTCTTTTTACTAGAAATTACCAGGATGTTCACAATGAATGGTATATTGGACATATTTTGGATTCTCTTTTATCCCAGGAGTTTACTTTTGCTATTCCTAGAGTTCTCTTTTCAAGCATCTATTATGTGCAATAGATGCTTTAAAATTTTCTTCCCTTTGTAAACTCATCTGAGAGATTACTAGAGTTCAGCTCATTTTCCTTTTATTTTAGAATATTAACGTGGGGTTTTAGAACTCTCTCTATTTACCCTCTTTTTTATTTTTATTTTTTTTTTCTGTTTTTAAATTAGCAGGTTACTTCTGCACTCAGAGAGACAGGAATCTGGGCAGCCTTCTGGCCTGAGCCTCTGTTGAAGTTGTCAGTAGATGATGTGAATTTTAACAAAACTGAATGCAAGTGTCCTTGTGCCCTTCCAGTTGTCCTCATAGACAACTTGGGCTACAGATCCATGGAAAGTTGGGCTTTATAGTCAATGATTCAACTCTCTCCCAGCTGTTAACACATACATTCCAGCTCCCAGGCAGGGTGGGCATAAAGGAATCCCGGAGAAAGGACAGCCTGGCAGCAAGATGAACTGTATTCCTACAAAAACCTCTTGTTGAAAGATAGAGAGATGAGAAAAGAAAAGGCTTTATTTACTACTAGTAGGAGGGTCCCTCTAAAAGCAAGAAGGCCCTGACATCTGGCAATTAGCACGGATTTTGTACACGATAGATCCCGTGGTCACAAGATTAGTGGACCAAGACACAGGGATTTGTTATGAGGGGTCAGGCAGATGTTCTCTCAGATGTTGTCAATTTTCCGAGAAGTGAATTCGAAAGTTAGGTCTTCTCAGAAAACGTGCCATGAAAGTAAACAAACCTGAGAAAGTACCTTTTGTACATTTTGTGGTTTGTAGCTCAGCACCGTGAGCTTCAGGCTGGCAGCTCTGTTTTTGCAGAAAGCTGTTTACCCTTCACACTCTGGTACCTCCAGGATGCATATATCCCATTGGAAGTCTGCTCTGCCCTACATGGACAACTAGCCACGTCCACAGGACAAATGCCACCAAAACAAGGGGAGCGCTGACGCAAATCACAGATACCACTCTACCTCCCCAACG